TCAGCTATGTTTTGTATGAAATGCGGAAAAAGTATGGAAATGGTCACTTCTTTTACAATGCCTTGAAGAATTTCCACCATGAAAGTCTGCAGTGGGTAAACTGCTTCCCTGTGTTCACCCTGTGGCCTCCGGGCCTTGAAGGCATGTTCTCCCCGAGGCTTCACCCTGGCAGCTTCTCTCTGGCCTGCCCGCACATCGCACCCTCTCCCTGGGCTGTAGGAGTGTGGGCCCGGCACTGGGAGCTGCTTGCTTGGAAAGGACAGGGAGGGTCGCTGATGCTTCAGCTGCAGGAATCAAAGGTAGTTTCCGCACGGAGCTCACCCATTGGTCATGCTGTGTGTGTCGCACTAGGAAAGGGTTTGGTTTTGTGAATGAGGAAGAGCAGGCACCTTTGAACCACCTGAACATGCTAAGCCTGGGCTCTCACTTTGTTAGAGTATCTGGTGGGGGCGGGAGGTGGGACTACTTTTCTCATTATTTAACCCGAAAAATCTGCATCAGGGCCCAGCAATGAAGAATGGTTTTGTCACTGGGAAAAATGCAGCAGGCTTTAAGTCAATAACTCAGCGCCTCAGCTGTCACACATGGCCTGGTGGATTTGAGCTCAGACAGGTACAGGCAGGTTCTATTCTGTGTGGGTGGGGAGGGGGTGTCCAGCACCCTGACTGCAAGAGTGCCACGGTGCCAGGAGCCAAGGGGCCATGTGGAGCAACTGCAGAGGCATGGTCCAGTGGAGTTCGCCTGTGATGTGTTTGTGAGCTCGCACTCCAGGGTCGGTGACTGTGTGGGAAGTGACTGGGACTGAATTCAGTGCAGACACAATAGAACTGTCTGGCATGTGAAGGTGTGTAAACCACACTGATAATGCGGTAAAGAAGTCATCCCTGGGCCTTGCCAGGTTCTGCCTGCTTTCCTGCTCCTTCCTGTCCTATCCCCTGCCCTCTGGCCCTCAGCACCTCCTCTTATTAATGCATTCATTCATGTAGGCAGGCTTCATGCTCATTTTTCTCTCCTCATTAGCACTCGGGAAAGGGCATCAGTCATTCACATGCCGGGATATGTTAAAGCCAAGCTCCTTGACACAGGGTACCTGTGCTGAAACATCAGTCCTCAGGGTGGCGTAGAAAACTCCGTCCCCTGTTTATGTAGATGTTTTGTACAGGAAGTTGAGGAGCCAGAATGAGGAGAGACGAGGAGGTGCTCTGGGTAACAGGCCTGCCCCATACAGTCCTGCCTGGACCTGAACAACGGAGAGAAGAGCAGACCATGGGTGCTGAGGGGAATTGAATGGCCAGTGGTAAAGAGAAACAGTGCTGACCCTGGTTAAAGACAGTAGGAGTGATATTCACACAGTAGGGGTCAAGGTTATCGCAACTCAACTTCAAATTCAGCAGGGCCAAGTAGAGATTATAACCTCTGAGCAGGAGAAGAGAGGATGGGAAGCTACTGAGAGCAGCGGAGTTAGGTATGGGGTGGGGCTGGGGGGATGGTCTGATTGTTGTCAAATGAGAAGAGAAGCCTGATTGGCTGTCAGGCCCTGGGGATTGTAGATACATTAGCTGAGCAGGGTCCTTGGTTAAACCTGAGATCAGCAGGCCAAGGGCAAGGCCCGTAGAGACAAAGGCTCAAAGGATCCTGGATTAAACTTGGTCTAATCTTTGTCAGCAGGAATGCCCAGGGTGGAAAGTAATCCATGTGGCCACTGGTCTCAGGATTTTTCATAGGGGCCTCATGCATAGTAAAGATGGTTCAATCCCCAAGCCCTGGGAGAGGCTTTCTGGCACCACCTCATGATACATTCATTCCTCAGCCAGGCTTTGACAAGCAGTTGAGGCCAGACTCTGGCGGCTTCTGAGCTCCCAGAGTACAAAGGGTCTCAAGGCAGATCTCCCAACTCTGGATCGCAGGGCTTGGTCCAGGGGCAGTTCAAGACCTGGGTTCCTTGTTAGTCCACCTGTCCCCTTAGGTTAGAGAGACACACAAATGGGCTCAACTAGTAGGGAAAGTTATTTCCACATATTTCTAAGTCCTTGAGTAGTGCAGGCCCAAGCTTAGAACTATCAGTGGTGTGGACCCATGTTTTTTCTCTCCCATCCTCCACAGAACAGTTGAGCCCTTCTCCTGGCCCCACAGGGACACACACACACACACACACACACACACACACACACACGCAGAGCAACCTCAGGAAGGAGAGACTATCTCTTCCTAATGCTGTTCTAGTGCCCTCACATTTCACTCTTCAGGATAAGTGAACAATGAAACACGCCCCTTCCTGAATCAGTTTTTGGCCTGGAAATGGGATTTTAGGTATGTCTTTGACTCATCATTTAGAGTGAAATGGAGACTGTGGAGTCAGCCAGCATGCCCTCCACACACACTACCTCCAGTCCACTTGAGCTGAGTGGCTGATAGACTCAAAGATAAGTGAGGCGTTTTCAGCATCTTGAGGTGAGAGCAAGAAAGAGTTTTACATAGCATCAGTACAGAGCTGTAGTGCTTCCTAGAAACTCTCCAGGGCCTGAAGAAGTCGCGCCAGCTGCAAGGCCTTGCCCCCAGCAGTTGTATGTCCCACACCTGCTCAGCAGCACTTGGCCAGCTTTCTCTCTGAGGAGCTCCCTCTGTCATCAGAGCCCAGGGGCAGGACAGAATGTGGTAGAAGCAGACGTCCCTGAATTCTTTCCCAGGAAGGGTATGGCCGTGAAGGTCTGTGTCTGCCTTTCTTTACCCCATGGCCCCCTCTGTGGCCAAAGCCTGTGACACACTCAGGACAAGGCCAGATGGGTTTTGAAAGTGGATCATTCACTTCATTGCCTGAGGCCTTGGTGTACATGTCACGCTGTGGCTGGCAGAGGAGGTGTTGTCTGGCCTGGCTCTTCCTTCGAACCTGCCTTGACCTCCTTAGAATCAGAGATTCTGAGGTGTGGTTATGGGAACAAGGAATCATATTGTTTTTTAAACATCCTAGGTCATTAGGAAGAGGGTAGAGTTCTCAAATGCAGAAAGTTTCAAGGATGTATTACTCAGGTGGGTCAAATAGCATAATAAATCATATAAATGGTCTAAAATACACAGATATAAAGGACACAGTAGTGACTAAATATTGAGCTTCTGACCCCTGGCCAAGAGCACTGGCATAAAAATACTTTACTGGGAATCCTAGCTGTGTCCAGTCCAGCAGCATCAATGATGGCCTATAACTTCAGGATTTCTTTGGTCATTTGGAGCATGTCTGCTTGGAGGGAGGCTAAAGCTGCCTTCATCCCCAGATGTTTCAGGACAGACAGCAACAAAGGCTGATGAACTGAAATGGGATGATGACACTGGAGGTTGGATGTGGAACAGGAAAGTTTTAAAGCCCCTGTAAACTTCTTAGGAATTGAATTAAGTCCCTTGAAAGAGATCAAAATGCTGAGAATGTGAGAATCACCCCATTTTCTTGATATGCCACTTCAGAAGGCAATGAGTATGTTACGATGGGGAGGATGGATGGCGGGTCCCAATATTGAGACATGGGATTGGAACTCACACTAGTTGTGGCATTTTCCCTGTAGACTAGAAATTTTAACAGCAGAGCAGTGCCAACAGATGGAATTTGAATGAGTGATTCATGCAAGCCATCCACAGTTCACAGGAGGGTTTTGGTCCCAGCAGTTTAGCATCAAGGCATTGTTTGAACCTTTAGAAACAAAAATGCATTTTTTTCCCACAGAAAAATACTCCTCCAAATGTGGTTTGATGTCTGGACTAGCATCCAAAACTTCATTTAACCTTTAAGGTCACTTAAAAGCATATCCTATCAGTAAACCAATAGAAATTAGTAATATAATTATCTTAGCTATCTTGTGTGTATGTGTATTTCCCTTGTATATAGGAAATATGTATATATTGTATATATAAATTATGTATTTATATTTCCCTTCCTTCTCTCTTTTCTTCTTTCCTCCATCCCAGTTGTTCTTTCCTTTTGAGCAGTTTCTTTCCCTCTCACAGTATCTATTGTACCTTTCAGATCTTATTTACTCTTTCAGTTTCTTATGCTAGGGAGACAATACTATGTTTATGCATGTAGATCTGATTTATTTCATTTAGGAGTATGGTCTCTAGTTGCATCCACTTGCCTATAAAAGCCTTCCATTTATCTTTCTTTATAGCTGAGTAATACTCCATTGTATAAAAATACATCTTTTTATCCATTCCTCAGATAATGCTTAATTTTTTTTTATCAATTTTGCATGCCTATAGCTGGTAATCCAAACAACTACTTTGGAGATAATAATGTGCAGTATAACAACCATTGCTGATTTCCTATCATCTGTTTTGAAATTCTATATCATTTTTAATGTTCTTTTTAAAAATTCTCTTTAAAATAACATTTTTTGAAATATATCCTACACATGTAATTAAAATCCGGGAACTTAGTGTCGCAAGTAAAATAGTAACATGAAGAGGATATTGGTGCAACCTGAAGGACCAGGCTTGGCTGGGAAGGGAGAGGCTAATCTCATCCCTTGCAGGAGTGGGAAGGGGTTTGAATGAGGGTTGTTTCCAAGCTCTTCCTTGCTACCTGAAGCCATTGTGACTAGAAGCCTGGTCCACCCTGACCCAGAGAATAATGCCTGTGGGAAATTTCCACGGCGATGACCACATTCGTTCAGGGTAGTGTTGCCTCCCACTAGATGTCTGTTTTTCTAAGTTTCACCATAAAATATCTCCTGTTCTTCCGTTGGAGATGGGGCTTAGGTCTGGGAGCAGAGCGGTGAAGCTCACAGACAGCAAGAAGGTCAAAGAAACGCACATTTGTGTGAAAAACAACAACCAGGTGAAACTAACTGAGCTGGAAATTGCAGGAATCGGGAGCCGAAGATGTGGAGAAGCAGGCTGGGTCCAAGGTGGATTTAAATAGATTTGGACTCCCGGTCAGGTGGAGGCAGATAGTTACCGCTAGGTGGCGCTGTCAACCCTCTCACCCCCGCACCCCCACCCCAGGGAGCCTTATAACTGCCCAGCTTGGAAACAGCCTCGAGGGACAGAGGGGAAAATGTGAGGCTAGTCCTTGCCTAAGAAAAGGGGAGAGGGTCATCCAAAACAGAGCTCACCGGTTACGTGTGTGTCATCCTGACCACATCAAAGTTAAAGTAAGAAATAAAAGCCAAAGCGTCTCATTCAGCATAGCCGACGCTGGCCTCCAATATGCGTGGGGCACTGGGGAGGAAGGGTACCCACAGGTCCCCTCTCTGTGCGTATAACCCCTCGCCTCCCACCGCAGACTGCTTGAGGACAGAGACTGTTTTGGTTTTCTCTCTCTCTCTGTTTTTTGTTTTTTTTTTTTTTTTTTCCCAGCTCTCTTGATTCCTCAGCAGACATTTGATACTATCCATTGAATGAACTTGCTTGATTTTAAATAGCTTTCTGACAGCAACACATTTTTCAAATAAGATTATTTAAAATTGACACTTGAAATTCTAGACACATGCTTCTTCAAAATCTAGAATTTAAAAACGTTGTCTTCATCAGCCTGTTGGAATGGAGACCATGCCCCAGGCAGGGTCTGCATGTAGCTGCCAGGGGGCTGCCGCCCTGCGCACCCCATCCCTTATTTTCAGCCTCAGAAGAAACACACATGCCCTTTGCTTTAGTCACCCAGCCCCGGGCAAATAGGGGAGAACGCGGAATCCCCCAGTTTCTAGAAAGGTCCCCTAGAGCATTTGCCCCCTCCCAGTTCAGAGGCTGCCTGAGTCCCCGGTGCAGGGACAGTGACAGTGCACCCCCCTTAGAGGCAGAGATCTGAGCCTCCATCACTGCCAGCCTGACCACAGAGGTCCTGGGAACTGGGGTGTCCCGCTTCCCCTGAGCATCTCTACCCATCCCTCCAGACCATGGCGTGGGAAGCGTTATCCACTCCTGCGCCCCTGGGCTCTCCAAAGCTGTTCCCTGCCTTCAAGAGAAGCTGGCCGAGCCAAAGCAGTTGGAACAATCTGAGGACTGCAGCGCTACATCTTCCCTTTCTGCCCTTTCTTGGGCTTTGTGATAATGTCCCGGCGACGATAGCAGTGAGCCAGCCCTCTTGCCTGTGAGGCTTCAGGAACTGGCAAAGAACTATGCATCCGCTGGGCATGCCCACAGGGCCGGGTGACGCAGCCCACAGATAGGGCACGCGGCTGGCCAGATGCAGTGCGGGGGAAGTCTACCCCAGGCTCCTCTCTGGAGTTCCATGGAGCTCCTTCCTGAGATGCGCAGATGAGGTGCCTTGGCCAGTTCCACGGCTGACTTCAGTGTGGGGTGAAGCCAGTAAACCAGGAGGGAAGCAGCTCACTTTAGCCATGCAGGTGGGGCGGTCGCATCCATTTCCTCCTGGGTGTGCTCAGCTAAGACTGCAAAACCCAACTCCTGCGTTTCAGGGCTCCCCTTACTGTTTTCTTAAAGACAAAATCACTCTTTTTTATTAATATATAAATAACTTTTTTCTTGAGCTGGCCTCAAGAAATGAAGCACAGATAGATGGTGATAATGTTGAAAATGTTTACCTATTTCCTCTCGGAGGACATCAGATTAGCCCTTTTTGTGGGCAGAATGTGTAATCTGCTGGAAGACAATATCATCCTTTTGATCTTGCAATACATTTTTCATATCTTTGCCGCAAAAGCTGATTATTATCGTGACATTTTTAAACAATGACTGTTCACCATGCAGAATGGGAGAGGAGAGCTTGGCTGAACGTGTAGATAGATGGAAGCTTGTCGAAGGCCGGGCTGTGGGGATGAATTTTCCCTGTGTTTCTCTTGCCCAGTGACATTGGCGTTAACTCCTTCAGCCCAGGATGCGGTTTCGCGCACTAGTTGGAAGCTGATGCTCAGCTGTACACCTTGGCCTCTCCTCTGTCTTGATGAATGGCCCCGTCCACTCCTTTCAAGGTCACTGTGTCCCCTTTTCCTCTGGAAGTTAAGAACCCTTGATTAAATGGCAGAAGCAGATTGAGTGGGGAAGCGCATGGGGAAGGGGGGATGGCACGGGGGACGTAGACTTGAGATGCCGAGGACTGCTTTGTAGCGGGCCTGGCAGTGTCCAGAGCACAGGCATCAGAGTGGTCTCGCTGCTGGGCGGGCTAGCGTGGACGTTTCTAAAAGGCTTCCGGACACCCTCACTCACCTCCCTCAGGGCTTCACAGCACTTCAAAGGGATCCTGGAGGAAGTGGTGGGAACAGGAAGAACAGGGATTGCAAACGCTGTGCCTCACTTTATCTCCAGAGAGCAGCGACTGTGCAGGGAATAGACAGGTCTTTCACACCAGGTGCACCCGCCTGGGTGCCCCAAAAGGGCTGTGATGTCCTGCCCAATTGTGCAGCGTGGTAAGGACTGAAAGAAACCAGCAAAAAAATGTTCAACATTGACTGAACTGCTCGCAGCTGCATGGCATGTGGCACTGGGCACGGCAAGGCCACCCCGCAGTAGAGTTAAAATTCCCCTGCAGCCACGGGCAGGGAGCAGATAAACCATGAATGAATTTGAAATTATGTTTCCTGGTCTTAACTTTCCTTTCTCTCTTCCCCCTTCCCCTCCCCCTCCTTTCCCCTCCCCCTTCCCTTTCTTTCCCTTCCCTTTCCTTCCCTTTCCTTTCCCTTCCCACCCACTTCAGGAACAATGTTACAGAAAATTGTAGGCTGCAAATTAGGGTATGTGGGATGGAATCTCCTCGGTCATATTTCACAGGGCCTTCAACAAGTTCTGCATTGTGCAAAGGTCTGAGGGGTGAAAACCAGGAAGGTACCAGAGAACCAGGGAGCTAGATACAGAATGGGCTCAGGTGTCTGGGGGGCCAGGTGTTCTGTCACCTCTGGGAGCCAGCGGAGATCTCAGATAAAGCACCTTTCGTGTCACAGGACTGGCATGCTAGGGCTTTGCCCTGTATGCTGGGGCAAAGCTATCATCAGCATGGGAGCTTATGAGGCTTGTTACTTAAACTTTTGTTTTTTGGGTTTTTTTTTTAAGTAGAATTGCGTATAACATTGTACTCTGACTATTGACATCTTTCTAGAAAAAAGAAAGAACTTTTTGGACCTAACCTGAAGTGCCAGGATTGTGTCTGGAGCAGGGAAAGCCTAGCAGTGGGTGTCAGGGGCAGTGAACCAGCCAGTTGTCCACGTGAGCTTGCTCACACTCATACACACACCCAGTTGCGTTACGTGTGTTTGTATGAGTCATTGAGCGATGCTTGTGTTATGCTGTAAAAATCAAAGCTACAGAAAGGCTGTGAAAATCTCCTCCGAGGGTCCTGGGGTCATCACACATCAGGCATGTACCTACAAAAGCCTAATAATCCCTGTGGCTAGGGATCCTTACCGGAAACACCCAAGTTGCTAATGTTACTGTCCCCAAGACAGTGGCCTCTGCCCCAGGACCAGCAGCTGTGGAAGTTGCTGATGGCAAGACCCAAGAGGGACGTGCTCGGCGACCACAGCTGCCTACCAGTGCTGTCCCTCTCCAGGCTGCCAGGGCTCTACAGCTGTGAACGGGTCAGCCAGTGTTAAACATTTTGTTGCTGCTTGCTTTCAGCTCCTACCGTACTGCACTGGGGAGGACATCGCAGGCTGCGGGGGAGGACATTGCAGGACTGGGGAGGACATCGCAGGCTGCACAGGGCCTCACTGAGAGGGGCTCCCTGCCAAGAAGCCCCATCCACAGGCCGTGCAACCTGGATGCCAGGCCAGGGGTCTGCTTCATAGTTCTGCATCCCCAACTCTTTGCCTGTTGACTTGATCATTGCTCCTCCAAGCTGCCCAGATAGAGCCCTCCCTGAGGTTCTTCTGAGCTCCTCTCCCTCAAGATGCTTCTCTCTTGCAGGTCTCCTCCCCTCAGCCTCAGCTGGTCAGGTCTGTGTGCCCGGCCCTCACTGAAAGGCCAAACTTACTTGAAAAGGCAGTCAGCACAGGTGAAGCAATGTGATCCGCGAGGCGCACACACATGTTTGAAATCAAGTTCCTCTCATCCTTTGGCGCGTTCTCACGAGCAGTTGCAATGGATTGTCTCTCTCCGGAGCCCCCTGTGTGTGGCAGCTTCCCACTTGTTCTTTGGGTGAGCTTTTTTCTTGCTTTTTACTCTCTGGGACAATAAAAATACCTCTCAAAATAAAATGCTTGGTGCTTTGAGATGACAGGCTTGTTTTATTTTTCTAGCAAGGTGAGGAGGAGCCTGGGAAGGAGAAGGATTTCGGAGGGAGGGAAAAGCAGGAGCATTCTGACCTCTGTGCACCTCTCTGCCCTCCCCCAGCCCATGCACAGAGGTCTCCAGGCTGCCTCCCCTTCTTGCTGCCTCCTCTCAGAATGGAGCCTGCACTCACGCATTTGTTTAATCAGGCTGCATTGATTGAGGCCTGGTATGTGCCAAGACCTATGCTGAAGTTGGGACACGGAGTCCGGCAACATGTGGCCCTGCTCTCAAGGCACTCGCAGTTTTTGAAGGGAATTATTTCTACCTTTTTTAGTTAACTGTTCATCTTTTAGATGAACAGATAACATACACATTTTATAGGCACAGGATGCTTCCGTGTGTGCGCACCTTGCACGTTTATTAAATCAAGCTAATTCACAAGCGCATCGCCTCCCACATTTATCAGTCCTGTAGTGAGAATGCTTAACATCCATTCTGTGCATTCATCAAGAAAACAATACATCACCGTTGACCATAGTCATCATGCTGTACGATAGATGCTTTGAACTTATGCCTTCTATCTTATGGTGACTATGTGTCCAATTCCTCCTCGGCCTCTGCCTGGGCTCTAGCGACCAACAGTCTGCTCTCTGTTTCCTAGTAGGTTGCCTCTGTAAGACTCCACACATGAGTGAGTTATCTCTCTGTGCCTGGCTCGTTCCCCTTAGCACCCCACCTTCCAGGTTCATCAGTGCTGTCACAATGCAGGGGAGACAATCAGAGAACAGGAGATCACAGAGTGCGTCCAGGAGGGCCCTGTGACAGCAGAGAGCCCCCTGGCAGCTGTCATGTCTAGGGGACTGAGCAATTGCAGGTCCACTCTGGCTACTGAGGGACCCCCCACACCCCCCAAAAAAAGAACAAAAACCCTCACATCACAACCAGTGACATGTGGTCTTTGAGTGGGATTCAGAATAGCCAAATTCCAGGTTTCTTGTTTACTTTTCTCATTGCTGGGGCAAAATGCCTGGCACCCATAAGTTAAAGGAGGAAAGGTTTATTTTGGTTCACATTGTGTAGAGGTTCAGTCCACAGTCGGCTGGCTCCAAGGCAGCGTGGCATGGTGGAGGGGCGTCGCAGGAGAAAAACAGTCTGTGGCAGACAGGCAGGAGACAGGAAAGCAGCAACCAGCCAAGTAGCCTCTTTCTGTCCCTATACTCCACCCAGGAATATAACCTTTGTTTTTACAATACATGCTTTATCACAAAACCAATTTCAGCAAAGTATTGCAGATGCAATGTAATCTTTATGCCTTAGTTGTCATTGCTTTTTTTTCCTTTTTCTTCTTTGGTTCACATTCAGGGTAGAGCACTCTTAACCCCAGCATCACATCCTTAATCCCGGGATCACACTCCTAGATCCAGCCACCTCCAAAAAGCCCCACCTATGACCTTTTGAGGGATGGATGTCTAGACACAAACCCTAACCCCAGGTCAGCAGAGATTGTGTCGTGGTTGAGATCCTAGTGTCCTAGGCACTGTGGCTTGCACAGGGCTACCAAGGGAATCCCCTGGAGCTCCCAGACAGAGAGAGGAAGGCCGCCTTCCAGAGTGGACATGTTTTACCTTCTTGATAATGGGCTCATGTGTGTGGGCATCCATCTGCCATCTCTGTAAGCTTCTGAGCTTCAGCAATTGCTGCTGACAGTTCAGGTTCAAAACAGAGGCTGAAGCTGTGAGGGGAAGGAAGGGTTCCTTCATGCAGACACCCCCATCAGGAACAAAGCACACACCCAGTGCCTTGCAAACAGAGCTTGTCCTGGGCTTCCTTGCCAAGTTTCATTTCTAAAAGCTCTGCAACTTTACTTAGATGTATGTGTTTTTGCTTTGTAATCAGATTTCCACCAAACATATATCATTAAAGCTTTGTTTTTACAATACATGCTTTATTGCAAAACCAATTTCTACAAAGTATTGCAGATGCAATGTAATTTTTATGCCTTAGTTGTTGTTGCTTTTTTTCTTTTTTTCTTCTTTGGTTGCTAGGGTACCAAACACTTTTGAGAAAGTATCTTGATAGTATCTATAATATGGTGGTTTTCTGGATAAGAGATTGCATTATCCCCATGTAATATATTTGGGCAAACTGTATCCATCATGGCTCAGCTAGATAAATACATTAAAACTCACTGATTGAGGAAGAAATGTGATATTTATATTGCCAAGAGTGGTTTGTGCTTCTCCTCTGACAGCTGCTGTGTTGCTGGTGTGCCTGTTCCTCCCCAGACTTAGCCATTTCTACTTCTTCTGAAACATAAAAGCATTGCAGTGGGTCTGGGAACTGAATGCCATGCCTGTGAGGCCACTGGCCCTCCACAGAGCTCCATCTGCTCCACCTGCTGTCCTTTTCCTGAGAAGTCATGAAGTCAAGTTACAGTCACACAAAGTGCATGTACCACATGAGGGCCTTCCAAGGAGATCAGCTGCCCTTACTTGGCATGAGCTATGGCCCTCAGCCATGGACTCCAGCTGGCAGATTTAAAGAAGGTCTCCTGCCTTCTCTTCCATCTCTTTCCCCATGCTGGAAGCCTTGGTTGGGAAAGAGTCAGAACCAGCATCAAGGTCTGGTCCTGGGGCAAGAACAGGGCCTTTTCTTGAGATAGCACAGATAAGGTAGCATAGTTCTTTGTGAAGCCCCTCTGCTGATGCAGAGCAAGCCTACTCCCAGGGACACATCCCATTGTCTAGGGGTGAGAACCTGCATTCATAAGTTCATCTGGTCTGAATACAAGAATTTGAAAAGGCTACAATGCAGCCTGTGTACACCCAGATACAGTAATACCTCAGTTCACAAATGCTTCTGTTTGCAAACAATTTGGTTCACACAAAAAAAGCATCTGGCAAAATTTCGCTTCTGTTCACAAACTGCACATCAAGTGACAAACATGACCAGAAACATGTTCCCCAAAATCATAGAACAGATTAAGTTCATAAGCTGAGGCACCACTGTATTGTCACAGGGAGCCCATGGGGACGATGATGATGAACCACAGACTTCAGAGGGCATCAGTAAGTCCTGAACCCTAGTCCCTTTCCATAAATGAGGCCTACAGGAAAGTGACAGACTTCGTTTCCTGGTCCCGCCTTCTTACTTCCTGTTTGTCATCAGATGTAGATGAGTGGCATGGGGGAGGTGCAGTACAGCACACTAAGGAGAGGCCTGGATCCATTCATTTGTTTTTTCATCTGTTCATCTCTGAACATGTGTGTGCTCCAGCAACATCCTTGGCACTGGTATCGGATACCAGTTCGTGGTGAACTATTTGTAAACCTCTACCAAGTCACCCTATAGCTGAGCCTTAGTTCCCTCCGAAGGTTGTTGGGAGGATTGAGAGACTAATGGGACACAGCACAGAGTGAGTCTGCCAGAAAGAATTCTCACCATCACATCTGCCTTTCAGATATTGTATTAGTCAACTTTCTTGTTACTGAGATAATACCCAACATCCATACTTGAAGGAGGGGAGGTTTGTTTGGCTCGGTATAAGTCCATGTTAGCTTGTTCCAGAAGAGCAATGTCATGGTGGAAAAGAGATGGAGCAAAGCAACGCAACTCTGTGCCAACTGCCACATCCCACCTCTTTTGATTTGCTGTCCAGATACATCTCCGTAAGCCATAGCTAAGCTCCAAACAAATAATAGCAAATCTACCAAATATAATTCATCATCCTGTGTACAAGAGAAAATACAAGAACCCCTTCCAGAAAGTCTCAGTAGTTCCAGCATTTTTCTAATGTTCAAGTCCAAGTCTAATGTGAGATTCAAGGCATAATTCATAGCTATGAATCTCTGTAAAAATAAAAAAAAAGAATTTAAAAAGTTACATAATCCCAGGGTACAATGGCACAGGGTAAACATTTCCATTCCAAAAGGGAAGAATAGGAGGATAGAAAAGAACTGGACCAAAGCAAGACCAAAAACCAGCAGGGCAAACATTAAATATGGTAGCTCTGTGTTCAGCATCCATGCCACATGGTGAGAAAATATGAGCTCCAAAAGGTGTGGTTGACCCCACCCCTATGACCTTACCACTTACAGTCCACAGCCCTCCCTCTTGGACAGGCTTCACTCATGACCTGTAGCTTTTCTCAGCTGATGTTCCGCATTCTGGCATATCTGGCTTCCTGGGGTCTTCACTATGCCTTTGGCTTCATTCCCACAGCTTCATGCACTGTTCTTTCAGGGCTCCTTGCTTGGCTTCCCAGGCCTTCCTTTGAAATTGGAGTAGAGCTTCCCTGACCCTACAACTCTTGCATTCTGCATGCCATAAAACTGGCACCACATGGATGAAGCCAAGTTCTGGTGTCAGAAGAAGCAGTAGCCAGGCCCCCTTGGACTAAAATAGAAATATTGACCTCTAAATGCCTGGGTGGCTAAGCATGGAGCAATGAATTCCAGGGAACCAGTTCCCTGGGAGGCCCTTTCTTTGTAGTCTTAAGCCTCCTATGGGTGGGGTCTTGCTGATTCCTGAAATGCCCTCATGGTATCTTCTTTTCCCTGTGCAAAGTACTCAGTTTCCATTTAATGGCACCAATCTCTTTATCAGTCAGACTTTCTTTGCCCCCAGTGAAAAGTTGGTATACATGATTCCCTCTAGGCTAAAATTTAAGGCTTTCAAATTTTTCTTTTCTGTCTTTCACCCCTGATTTTCACTATCAATCTGGCTAGAAGCAGCCAGCAGTGCCCATGCCACAGCCTATACATTAGGTCTTGAAATTTCCCCCTCCAGATCATTAAAGTACATTGCCCTTAATCTTGGTCTCCCACAAAGTTTCAGGACATGGGTAAAAGGTAAACAAAATATTTGCCACAGTGTAACACATATGACCTATAGTCCAGCTACCAATAGAGTCCTTGTTCCCACTTTAAACCTCCTGTGCCAGGTCTTTACTGTCTGCATTCCTATCAACATTCAGTCTTCTGAGC